CTAGGAGAGGTTTGCTGGCCTTGGGCCCATCTACCTGGTTTAAGTGGAAAATGTAACTTAGAATCTCAAATAGTTACCTGTGACTTGATCAGGTCGCACAACCGGTGTGTGTCAGAGGCTAGGCTGGACCCCAGGTCTCGTAGAGTCCAAGGCTGGCTCTCTAACTACTACACTACACCATCTCTGCTTGAATCATGCATGGGTGAAGCTCAAAAATAAAAATAAAACTGTTGAATTGAATTGAAACAAAGGGGCATATGATACCAAATGTAATCTTTTATTAAAACTTCAGTAGAGTTTTTTTTTAAGGGGCTAAATGTTATCCCATAACAATAATTAACTTCTTGTCTTTTTTTTCCCCTCCTAACCTGAGTGAAAGCTTTTGACATCATCTTGGCTTCATGACATTTCTCAATTTAAAGGAATCTTTCCTATATTATAACTTTTTAAGTTTTCTACAAAGTAATTTTCAGGCAGAATCTTTGTTGTGCTGGAAAGGTACAATGAAGATCTAAAATTAAGTTAAAAATGTTAAGCAGATCCCACTTTCCTTAAAGTACCATTGTGTCAGATACATATAACTGGTAGTGAATTTGTTTTCATTCAGTTGAAAGGCAAAATGTTTTCTTTTCCCTTTAGAAAACCAGTTTGGCATTAGATTCACCTCAACAGAGAGGGGGAAAATAGTAAAACAATAATTCATCGTTAAAATAAAACACCTCAATGAATCCATACTGAGATGTTTAGGAAACAAAAATAAATGAAGAAATATTATTAGATTAAATGGAATGTCAAAATTCATGAACAAACTTTGCCTGTGTAATTGCTTATCTCAACACCTTCAAGACTCTTCTGTTCACCTCATTTCTCAGTTAGACTTTCAGTTTTACCAATGTTGCATTCCCCACCCCCCACCAAGAGTTGATATTGTAATGCCTCTCTAAAGTGTAGTCTAGTAGATATGTAGGAAAGTCTGGGAGCTTGATTGAAATGTGGTTGCTGAAGCAACCATCCTCACCTGCTCCTGTGACCACTTTGCTGTTTTCCTCTAAAGTACACTGCTTTCACCTTGACTTGTGTAGCATGTCACCAGAGATACTCTAATACTGTCTATTCTCTTCACAATGAAATTGTACTTACAGTGGGTTTAAGCTTGTCATATGTTCAGAGTATTCGTAGTAAATTATTTGTGGAGAAGCTTGTCTTGAATTTGGAAAGATTTTTTTAGGGGGATGAAATAGCATTTTTTCCCTTTAAAAACCTCATTAAAACATCCTCTGGTGACCTATCATGACATAAAGGGATCTCTGGCTTCTGGAATGGTATGATATGTCAGTGAAATGAAGACTGTGATATACCTTGTAGGGTGGGAAATGCTTTGAACGTGGAACCTGTGAAGGACAGAATAGCTGTCATCTGAGAAAAAACCCATCTAAGTTGAGACTTATCACCCAACTGGCTGCAGAGTAATGAATGAACTGTCCAACTACTGTATTTCATAAAGATAACTTGCTAAAAAGCCTACTGTATTTCATGAAGACCAGTCACCAAGGTATATCAGGGTCAGAATCTGCACTGGGGAGAGATTATTATCTCCATCGTCAAAAATGGATCTTCAAAGTATTGAAGGCCAAAGTAGTTTGTGGCTATGATATTTTGATTTACAAAATCACAGAATCTGCAGGTTGGAAGTAGGGTTTCCTAACTTGACATTTGAGAAAAAAATTTTTTATAATTAAAAATACATTTATAACTATATTTTAATGTAACTGATTTCCTTTGTAACATGCATTTACAATATTATTCCCAGCACCTTAAAAAAGTCCTTCCACAACTTACCCAACAAATAAGTCTCTTGCATCTTTTTGAAGACTCACAGGGAGGGGAAGTTTACTGAGGCAACCAGTCCCTCTTTTGGATAGTTTTTAGTTTTTAGAAGTTTTTTTTTCTTCTCTACATCAAGCTTATCTAAACCTTCTACCTATTGCTTTTAATTCGTTCTTCTCTGGAATTTATCCTTCTTCCACGTGGAAGTTGTTAAGATACTTAGACATCTATCGTGTACCTCTCTTCCACACCCACCTCCCAACATTTTCCTCTCCAAGCTATACATCCCTATTTGTTTCAGCTGTCCCTCTATGATTTGTTCTTTGAGGTCTTTCATTGTCCTGGATGTTTTTTTAAAGATGCTCCCCTTGGTTATCAATATTCATTATAAAATGTGACAAATGGAATTGAGTCTTTTTTTCCCTTCTTTTTCTTTTCTTTCTTTTTTTTTTTAAATGACCAGGGCAGAGTACAGTGGAACTCAAGCTTTTAGTCCTGGACAATAGACATCTTTCCATATGCCTTAAGATTGCATTAATTTTTTTGACTGCCATATGATACCACTGACGCATATTGAGCCTGCAGTCTAACCAAACACCCATATCTTTTTCAGATGTCCTGCTGTCTGTGCATATCTGCCCCAGGCAGTGTATATGAGATTTGTTGTTGTTGTTGTTTAACAGTTGTTCCATTACATTATTGCTCAGTGAAAGTCCTATTCTAATTCCTCAACCTGGCATAGAAAGCTGGATCTAAAGCTCTATAAGCCTTGGAAAGGCCTACCAAGTTGGAATGTCTTACAGTAAATCCAGGCCAAGGGATGGATGATAATCTTGTGAAGACCAGCCTCACTATGTCTGGAAAGGATTATAAAAAAAAAAGGAGATTGGCCAGGTGATTAAATGTTCTTTGAACAGCAACATAAGGAAAGGAGTGGTTACAGTCTGTGTCAGGGCAGAGAGAGTGAAATCATGGATCTTTTGAACTACTGAACAAGTGATTCTTTTATAACCTATATGTTAGTGGAAGGCAGACTGACTTCAGTTTGGAGGATTTGGAATCAGAGAATCATGCTATTAGAACTGGAAAGTCCTTTGGAGTTCATCTAATCCCAATACTCTCATTTTACATTAGAGCCTAAGTAGCTTGACTCAGGTCACACAAGTAGTAAATAACATAGCTGGAGTATGGACCCAGGTCCTCAGATCTCTGATACCAATGTTATTGCCACAACAATTTGCTATTTCCAATAATAACATCACATCTGTACTTATGGCTAGTATACTGTCTTTGGAGTTGGAGGGTCTGGGGGGCAAATCTGTATCTGTCACATACTAACAAAGGGTGGGATTTTACTTGGGACTTGAATGAAGCCAGGAGGCTGAGATGAGGAAAGAGACCATTCCAGGCATTGGTTGAGCACCCTCCCCAGTCATCTCAAGTGGGGAAAGAACTTAGAGAGTCCTAGGGACTACAACAACCCTCCCCTTCCTGCAGGTTCCCTTTAGGGACCATGAGACTCAGCACCAATGAAAAACAAAGTCCAAGTTATTCGTCTATATTATGGCTTCTTCTACTCTAGCTCTTGATCGTGGTCTTGAAACTCAGATGTAGTGAAGTGTCTGCCTTACTGCTTTACTGCTGCTTCTATGCTCTCTAACACACCTGTAGAGGCTTGGGAACATACCATTTTGATGCCACTAGTCTACATTTCCTTAGCTGCCATCTGCTTCTCCTCTACCACCATCCTTTTTCCATGCTTTTTCCACAAGTGTTACAATTTTTTTAGGCCACCTGGGCCAATATGCCTCAGGACTTCTTGACACATTTCTAACTTTGTTGTCAGAGACATTTAATAGAATGTTCCTTGGAAAAAAGAACATTTTTCCAACCTTACTGTTAGGAGTACATGCAGCCCCAACTGCTAGTTCATAAAGGAGCCACTTCAAAGGAGGTTTTGAGAAACCTCTTAACCTGGTTCTCAGGTCCATTCATTTCTTAGCATCAGAGCTCAGGCCTACACATGGGCAGCATCTCCCTTTGTACTTTGAGCAGAGGGAACACTGGCCCTCTTTTCTTTCTTTTACCCATTTTTCTAATTTCTATCATCATCTCTTCCCCTCACTGGCCCTAGGATATGAAAATTGCCTCCAGCCTCACTCATGCCTCTAGAGGTTTTGGAAACATGGAGAGAGGGTGGAGCAAATCTGGAAGCCATTGTAAGCATATCTGTCTCCATGGCAAAGGTTCTGAACTCTTAGGTTTTTAACATATTTGCTTGCAACAAATAGTTGATAGACTAAATCATTCCATTAAAATAAATATTTTTTCATATTTTAAAAATATTGCTAGATCCACTTACCACCTTGTAAAAGTATAAAATAATTTTATTGACAGAAAGGTAGGTTTTTTCCAAGGAGCAATCTATTAACTTTGCATAAGCTCTGGATGACTGCTTGATGGTATGAGGTTTTTAAATCTAAGCCATTTGTAAATGATGCAGTAATTACCATTAAAGGCAGCTACATCTTTGAGCAGATTAGACTTTCCAAGGAAGCAATCAAAGACTGGTCTGTAGGGCAATCAGTACTTCTCCTATTTTTTGAAGGTGTGGTATGGTTGGATAATGCCTTATGAGAAATCCCTCATATACATAAAACAACCTTCATTGCGTACATTTCAACAATATTTTTTCTTTTTTTTTTTGTTTAATTTTGTTGTTGTTGGTTTGAACCAACTTAATTGTCTTCTTCTCTTCCTTCTTCTTTTCTTTCTTCTTCTTCTTCTTCTTCTTCTTCTTCTTCTTCTTCTTCTTCTTCTTCTTCTTCTTCTACTGCTACTACTACTACTACTATAGGACAGGATTGGGACCTATGATTTCATTGCTGCTTTGTTGTAAATTTGACACCTTTAGAATTCACATTAACTCTTTCCCTTTACAGAGACATATAGAACACTTGGGTTTCTGTTTAGGAATATAGATATTGGAAGATTCTGGTTCATTAACTTTGGAATGAAAATGTTAAAGAAAAATGAGTGTGTAGCTTTGAAGTTTCCTATGCCTCCTAGGCTTGTGCTTACAGAGTGTAGTATTTCATTAAACCATGTTATTCATCGACTTAGTTTCTCTCTACTCCAATTTTTGCCTCCTTGCTTTCCACCTCCTTATTCAGATAAACAAGCTGGAGGCTCGCCTGAGGCAGGAGGGATGCATGGATGATAATAGAATTCATCGGAGGGACAATGAACACTGGATGAAAGAAGACTGCATTAGCTGTATCTGTAAGGTATGTTTGGCTCTCAGTTCTTTCATCACTTTCCCTCTATTTTTCCCTTTGGTTTCCTGCCTGTTGAAGCACTGTGAAGAATTTTTCCTTGAAACTGCACCTATGTGAAGCAGATTTTGGGGATACTTTTGAAGGTTGGCGTAAGTGTGTGGTGATCAATGATTTTCCTGTTATTGTAGTGAGCCAGAAGGGCAAGTGTACAGTGCTTAAAGCCAAGATTACTCTATGCATAGTTCTGTCTACTGTCCAGTGATTTTTTTTTCTCTGAAATGTACGAACTTTAGTCTTCAAGTAGACTGGTTTTTGAAGATGAGAGAATTAATGTCAGGGTCCTGGAAACTTTGATTGTGATAAGTACCCTATTTGGTGACACAGACCTACTCTAGATCCCTCTCCCTTTCACTCTCCTTCTTTCTCTTTTTTCGTCCCTCTCTCTAGCCCTTCCTGTTCCCCTTCCCCTCTCTCATTTCATGCTATATTTTGAACACGTGGTATGTGTTTTGAGGGCTAGTTTAAGCCCCATCATGGGAGAGAAACCAGAGTATTCCTTATGACTATTAACAGAGTTGTTTTCTTCCTGTTCCCATAAACCATTTTCATTCTCTTTCTTGCTGTACTAACAGTTTTAATTTTGTACTTTGAAAACACTACAGACTCTACGTACAGTTAAATTGTTGAATCTAGTCAGTAGACATATGGATGGAAGAATTAATGGAGTCCACACTCAAATGAATTTGGAGTTTCTAGACATTGCTTTTAAAGTGAAAGCACATCACAATGTTTATTTGATTAAATCAATTTCCAAACCTTCATTCAATTATTAATAATTTCTGGGTGCATTTTGTCATAGGCCCTGAATGAGGAGAAAGCTATGTAGGGATAAGAAAATACTCAAAATGAAAGAATATTCTGCAGAAAAGTACATTTGCAAAATTTGTGATAATAGGGGGCTTCTATAATAAAAGAAGAGAATTTATTCAGATACAAATAAATACCATACTATGCAATTGTTATACTTGGATAATGAGTTTGATTCTCTTAAAACTGTGTGTTTGCAAGGACTACATCTTGCATGATTGCTTTTGGCATTAGAGAAGCCTATCTTCAAATGACAGCTTCCATACTCATCAGTCTTCAGAGATATTTGGTTAAATTGCTTTAATGTCAATAAAATAAAACATTGGTGTAACTCTCCTAGTGGTGGGCATTAGGGAAATTACAGCTTTGCCTCATATTAATGTCTAGCTTCAAGGTCTGTGACTGAACTACCAAAGCAAAGCTTTATTCTTAACCAAAACTCGCCATGAGGAGCAACCTCACTTCAGAGTAACTATAAGTGTCCATACACTTTTTTCACTCAAGACACTATGGGACACTAACAGTGTCCCACAAAAGATTTACATCCTGTTCTTCCATTGTTCTCTTCCTTCCCTACCCTAGGCAGTGAGGTTGCATTTTGAGTCAGGAAGAACAGATTTCAGATCTTAACTAGCTGCGTCACTTTGGGAGAGCCAGTTAAAACTTTCTGCTTCAGTTTCCACATCTGTAAAATGGAGATAATAGTAATGTGAGGATCAAGTGAGATAATATGTGTAAAGCACTTTGTAAACCTTATTACCCCCATTTAGCATTGTATGGGGAGATGGTGAAAAATAATTTACTCTTCGTGTGTGTATGTCTCTAGTACCCACATCTATATTTATATGAGTTTGTGGTCATTAGAAATTTTTCAAAGCATGTAGTCAATTGATGGTTGACTGATTTTCCTTCTGGAAGGTGTAATATTTCTTTCTGATAAGAGGTTCCAGGTTTCCATTTAATAACTCATAATATGTAATTCATTCAGTGGGCTCTAAAGGCTTGACAAAGTTACAATGAACATATCCTACATAATTCTAGAAAATACTTCTTTATATATATATATATATATATATATATGTGTGTGTGTGTGTGTGTGTGTGTGTGTGTGTGTGTGTGTATTTATATATCAAAAGAAAAATTGGTCTAAATTTTTCTAGGTGTCTTTATGTCATGAAACATGGAGCTAATATTTAAATATTACCTTTCAGAGTGGTCAGGTGACATGTACCGTGGAGACCTGTCAACCTACAGAGTGCCTCAACCCACAAATGGTGAAAGGAGTGTGCTGTTCCCTCTGCATGGACAATGAAAAACTAGATGATTTCCCAGAGAAACTTTAACAAACATCTCCTTTTACTGGAGCTCATAATAGGAAGTTAAAACTTGCCATTCAGTTCTGAGCAATGGGATAACAACTTATGCTCACATTTTGATATGAAAATGCATGCTGATTTGAAAATTCAGACTAGTTTAAGCCTTAAAATACACTGAACATATTCTACCATTTTCTCTAACCTTGCCTGAAAATATGCAAAAGTAAATTATGTCATAAAAACTGTACTTAAAAACCTTCATTATACTGTCAAATATTCCCTAAGCTGTGATGACAAGTTACTGTTCTCAGAAGCTTAAATGGATTATCTTATACTCTTTTTACTAATCATTTTTAAAGTCAGAAGAATTCTGTTTTCTTAAACTTCAGTAATGAGTAAAGATCTCTGATTTTGCTGTCTCAGTGAGACTGAAAGCCTAATCAGATGAGTTTCCTACTTATTTGGGATCAGAGTTATGATCATTTGGACTGTTTCTCCTCCAAATTCCAAATTCCCCAGAAGACTGCAGTTCCAATAACTCGAGACTTTTTAGATGAATCTAAAAGATTTTTAACTTGAGGTCCATGGACCCCCAGGAAGTCTGTTGTTATATTTCAAGGGCTCTGTGTATTTGCATGGGAAAAAATTAGGTCTTTATTTTCACTAACTTCTAATTAAAATGTTGCATTCCCTTCATTTATAAGAATATACACTATAAATAATAGCTCAATTTTGAATGTAAGCAATAAACCATTATTCGGAGAAGGGGTTCATTCACTTCATCAGACTGCCACAAGGGTCTATTACACAAAAAAGGCTAGGAACCCTTGTTTTAGAGAATTCTGTTCTATTATATCTTTAGTCTGTAAATTTTTGGATATTGACAACCCAATGAAAAAATTGGATTGTTTCAAAATAATACAATGAATTGTAGGCAACACAATGAGAATTTACTGAGGACTTGCTTATTCTATGCAAGGCACTGTTTTAAGTGCTATGGGGTGGGCAGATGAAGATGAATAAAATATGAATGGGAGCAGAAGAATCACAGTTAGACACATTGAGTCTAATACCTTTATTTTACAGATTAGGAAACTAAGGTCCAGGGAAGTTAAATGACTTGTCTAAAGTCACAAAGGTAGTGATCATCATAGGTAAGATATGAACTCAGGTCCTCTGCCTCCAGTCCAGTGCCCTTTCTACCATACGTGTCCCCTTATTCCCAAGTGAACATACAGTTCAAAGTAGAATGTGAAAAGTGCCATGTGAGACAGAGACTGACTTGTAATTTTACCAACATAGGGAAATCCCAGTTGCAGAAACCTCCTTTACAAGTGGAAATTGGCACCTTCTCTGTAATTTATGGTCTCAAAACTACCTAGAGTACTGAGAAGCTCAGTGACACACAGAATCATATAGTCAATATGTGAAAGCCTGGACTTGAACTAAAGTCTTCCTGGATGCAAAGCCATCTTTCTACCCACTACACCATGCTGTCTCTCAAAGCAATTGTTATGTGAACCCAGAGAATGGAGAATTTTCTGTTAACTGGAGGAAATTTAAAAAAAATTTCATGGAGAGGTAGCATTTAAACTGGGCCTTGAATAATAGGATATAATTTCAAAAGGCAAGAATAGTGAGGCAGAAAGAACAATCTTGAGCAAAGGTACAGAAAGGAAAGGAAATATTCTGTTAACAGCTCTCAGGGTGCTAGATAATTGTGTATTTCTCAGGAAAAATAAAACTGAAAAAATCCAAGAAGTGAGAGTTCTTAAAGAGCTTCCGTCATTTCATTTGCAAAGCCATATAGATATTTCTGAGGAATTCAAGGTTTCCGAATACACATGTGCCTTGCTGTTATTTTTTTAATGTAATATTTCAGCAGTTAATCTAGAGGTAATAATTTGCTTTAAAAAACAATTCTTCACTTTACAAGGGAGTCGCTAGAGCCATCTTTTAAATAGCGAGCTCTATTAGTGTGTTTATAATAGGAATTGATTTACAAAACTTGAATTTCATTAAACTTTTTCTGGAATGCATCGATAATATAAAGCACCACAAATCCATATGTGTTGTAAATAGTTCAAAGCATGAGACTAGAGCCATTAATGTAGAGGAATAGTATTTTCTTGTGTGCAGAAGGAAAACTTTAAAATAAATTCTTTTGGACTGATCATTGAATACAAACTTTCCATGTTGTAGTTCCACAACAGGTACAAAAGAACACTCAGGGAAATAGCTCAACTTCTTTTTACTTCTAAATGAATAAAATCCAGTACATGTCTTCAAAATTTTATCATTATTGTTATCCATAATTATGTAAAAATAAATATGAGGCTATGTATTTTAGGCAAACTTGTTCTCATGGATTTAGTAAGATTATAAATAGATGAAATGGTATGTGGAGTGTCTGGAAAACATATCTTCTGTCTCACTCATATAATAAATAAGGACTTTATTCCTTCTCTTTACATCCCACATACCAAAAAACTAAAGTGTGGTGGTATCTTTCAACTCACAGAATGGAAACCTAGCAAAATAATATAAATATGTTATGCCTATGTTGTTAAGGTATTTTTCTGTTCCTCAAAGAAAGTCTCCAAGCCAGCTCACTGAAAGCTAATTGCAAACCATTATTTTTATAACTATTCTAAAAATATAAAGAATGTAAGTGATAGAAGGGACTTTCTAGAGCATCTAGTCAGAACTCTTCATTTTTTTTTATGAGAAAACTTAGGCCCACAGAAAATTACTTTTCTCTTATATCACACAATGAATTGATGGAGGAACTGGGACTGCCTTTCCCAACTTTTCAAAGTGTGTCTACCTAGATAGAGTCTTAGACTCACAGCCATATTTTCTGTAATCATATCATTTCCGTGAATTATAGATCTGGCTTATGTCACCACCAGAGTTAACTAACTCTATAAGTTGGCCACCACAGAATAATTTGATAACCTCATTTTTAATTTGATTGGATTGTTAAAAAAAACCCAAACAACTAGCTTATGAAATGACCATTTTAATGACTGAATGGGCCCCTTTGTGTAATCCATTAATGGTCTGGCAATTATCTAACATAAAAGCTTGAAAGACCCAATCAATTGTTCATTTAATTGAACTATGTAGACAAGGTCATTGTGTGAATAGATGGATTATTTTTTGTTTTTATGATTTTGTGCATTGAATTACTATGAAAATTGATGCTTTAATGGCTTAAAGACTTTAAATATTGAAAAGCTGATTAGTCTAATATGATATCAACATATTGAATTAGCATGTTGTATTAAGTAATGGTTATTTGAAAGGAAATTTTATGCTTCTTCTCTGTGGGTGTCTACTGATCTCCAGTAAAAGGATGAACCTAAGCATAGATTAAGTTCTCTTTAATAGCAGGTGAGGCCCCTGCTTTTCTCCAACTTAATGATCCTTATATGCCATTCTAATGATTCTTCTGTGTTTTGTTCAGATCTTTTTGGGGTCTTTCCCAAGGTGCATAGAAGTCAAGGGCCTGGACAGAGGTCCATTCTCTTGGGAGGAGCAGCCTCAAATGCTATATACCCACTTTGATACTGATAGAATTTTTTTAAAAGGAACATAGGAAAACTAGAGGTGGTAGCTGGGCAGAATTCGCCAGATGCAGGCAATTGATTCTCTCTTGAGTGGAATATAAACCTGAAGTGCCATGTGATTTGTAATTTGCATGGAGAGAATAGTATATTATTATACAATGTTTACTCTGAAAATAATGTCTTGCTTATACACATAAAGCCTCTAACAGTGCCTGAGAGGCATTCTTTATACTGATTTTCCCTTTTTTGTTTTAACTACCCCAGTGTTTCTGGGGATAAAGGTATATGGGGAAATTATTTTTGTAATGTGGCCATTTTTTTTTTTACTCAATTGTGATGCTGTTTGTTGGTTCATATTGATTTAATTTTAAAAGTTCACTGTTAAGCTTGAACGACCTAAAGTTATTACAAATAACTAAAGATTCATGTTATGTTTTATTAAACATTTTAATAAAATAAATATGTTACTCATTAGTATATTAAACCAATTTGTTGTTTAGTTTATACAGAAATCAGCTTAAAAATCATGGAAAGTATTTATTTAAAAAAATATTTAGCTCTGCTTCCTTAAAGACAATTTCAGTAAAGAACTTTTGCAGTAAATTTCAAAGAAATTTCTATATTGTACCTATTCAAAATCAGAGACAATGTGGTAAATATAAGTGGTGCTAAAAGTTGTGCCCGAAATACAGCTTCACGTGACATATGTGTTTGCTTTGTGGAAGATGATTTGCTGATTTTTGTTTCAAGCACTGGGTATGAATTAATGTTTCAATGGGCATTTCAAATATAAATAGAAGGTACTGAGACTCTATAATTCTGTCACAGATTATTTATTATTTTTTAAATTATACATATGATTGGCAAACCAAAAAAAAGTGAATGCCTGCTACTTACAATTGTTAACCAAAATGATTGAGGTCAAAAGCTTATGAGAATGGTGGTTTCTGTGTAAATCTCTTATCAGCAATAGGAGTAAAAAGACAAGGTAGTTAGCATCTCCTGTGAGACAATTCACGTAAACAATGGTAGGCAGTTGGGTATGAGGGGAGGGGGGAAATCTCTCCTTCAAAATGCATTAGGTTTAAAATGAAGGCAAGATAAGGTTGGAGGAACAGGGATGGCTGGATAATTATATTTTGGTTAGAGTCTTTGAGAAATATTTTTTGAGGGAAAGGCTTCCTATCAAAATTTTAAAGGAAGTTAGCTGGTATTTTGGCATGTATTGTACAATGAAATACAAAAAAATAATTTATGGCAAAATATGTAGGATTTAATATAATATAGTCAATGTTAATTTAAGGCCACTTACATTGATAATACATTTTTAAAAGTCTTTTATTTATAAGATTTCTTATTCTTACAGAGAAGTATAGGGGAAAAAATCTGTCACCTAATTATTTTTTGTTGGGAGACCTTTGATTTCGTGGGACAGCTTGGAAGCACAGTGGATAGAGTGCTGGACCTGGAGTCAGGAACTCATCTTTATGAGTTCAAACCCAGACTTAGAGACTTACCAGCTGTGTGACCCTGGGCACATCACTTAACCCTGTTTGCCTCAATTCTTCATGTGCAAAATGGGCTAGAGAGAAGGAAATGGCAAACCATTCCAATATCTTGACCAAGAAAATCCCAAGTGGGAGTCACAAAGAGTTGAATATAACTCAAAAATGACTGAACAACAAATTCTGATTTCATTGGTGAGGACTTCCTTTGGTAACTGTTCTGTAGTTTCCAGGCTAAAAGGATTACCTGGGACACTGAAATTAAATGATTTACCGAGGGTCAAAAAGTCAGAGGAGAGTCTAGAATTGTCTGATTCAGAGATTGCCCCTCTCAAGTTGTCAAGAACCAATCAGGAATGATAGGCTTTTGGTATGGATGTGAT